GAATGGAAGAAGGAAGACATAGAGGTACCTTTTTTTGACCTGGAAACTCTCACTGCAGCTACCAATGGCTTCTCTCCAGAAAATTTGGTTGGAGCAGGTCGCTTTGGCTCTGTGTTTAAGGTAATATGATCCATGGTTTTCTTTTAATTGTCAAAAAGTAATAAACTACTATAAAGAAAAACATGATGTGTCTGTGATTTAATGACATATGCAGGGATGCCTACGTACTGGACAAGATATTGCAGTGAAAAGGTTGTCAAAGAATGCAAAACAAGGTCTAGAAGAATTCAAGAATGAAGTTGTTCTGATTGCCAAACTTCAACACAGGAATTGTGTCAGGCTTTTAGGCTGCTGCATTCAAGGAGAAGAAAGGATACTCGTTTATGAGTTTATGCCAAACAATAGCTTAGATTATTTTATTTTTGGTCTGTTGTTCTTGTCCATTTATTTTTGGATTCATCTTGTGTACGTTCCTTTATGTGTTTGCAGACCACCTTACAGATTATCTAATTTTGGAGGAAAACAAAATTGTTAAGTACTGTTGATGCTACTATTGACAAATCAAGAAATTTATAAGGGTAGCAATGGTTTGCAGATCAAAAGAGAAGTGCATTATTGCCTTGCAGATCAAAAGAGAAGTGCATTATTGCCATGGAAAAAGCGCTTTGGCATCATCATGGGAATTGCACGGGGACTTCTCTACCTTCATCAGGAATCTAGACTTCAAATAATTCACAGAGATTTGAAGACTAGCAATGTTTTGCTAGACCAAAACTTAAATGCTGTTATTTCTGATTTTGGCTTAGCAAGAACATTTGGAGGGGATAAAGTTCAAGTAAGAACAAACAGAGTTGCTGGGGCATGGTAAGTTGCATAGTTTAACATTGGTCCAATTGTCTTATTATGAAATCATATAACTGATATGACTGATACTTCAAGCAGTGGCTATATGTCTCCGGAGCATGCAGTTGATGGAGAATTTTCAGTCAAATCTGATGTTTTTGCTTTTGGGGTGCTTATCTTAGAGATATTGAGTGGCAAGAAGAATAGGGGTTTTACTCATCCAGATCACCACCATAACCTTCTAGGACATGTAAGTTGACTGACTGACAGTACTATCCTATGTTCTGCTCTTCTTGTTAATAATTAGTTAATTGTTGTGAAATTGAACTAGGCATGGTTGCTATGGAAGAAACACGGGCTTAGAGCTAATAGATTCATGTCTGGAGAATTCATGTGTTCCATCACAGGTGCCAAGATGTATACAGTTGGGTCTACTATGTGTTCAAAAGTTCCCAGGGGATAGGCCTGAAATGTCATGTTTTGTATCCATGCTGGTAAATGAGAAAGACAAATTGCCTGACCCTAAACAACCTGGTTTCTTCATAGAAAGAAGACCCATTTATGGGGATGCAAAATCAAACAGAGAAGAATTTGTTTCAAACAATGGAGTAACCTTAACCGTGCAGGAAGGAGGATAGAAATTTAGCAGTAACTTTTAGTTGAGGAGAGTTTCCTGTTGCTATATTTATTAGCAAATAGTTCAGCATCTACTTGGTGGCTACAAAAATTAGCTATTAGGTAATAAATGCTGTCTATTTTCATACAAGACACTTATTTTTTTAAAAAAAAAAAATTCTGTTTTTCTGAACTGTGTATGACAACTATTGGTTTCTAAAGATTTTTTTGTCTTCAATTGGGATTAAATATTTTGAACGAAACATGATTTGTCCAATGATTCTCCAATGGTAGCTGCATCGGTCTCCTTTTTGTGTACCCTTCAAAGTGAAGGTCAGTAGGGACATGGAAAGTGCCCCTAGGAACATGGGAGATGGTTTGATCCTAATCGAAGACAAGTACGTGTCCTGTCCTCCAGAAACGTTGCAAGTAAATCATTTAAAGTTATTGGAATTTGCTAATACTGATTTTATAAGCACATATCCCTTCCACCATTTTCAGAATTCTTTAACTGCACCCAAGGTCCCACTCTTAATTAAATGTCGAGATCAATTTCATGGGAGGAAAAAGTAAAATCTCTGTTTTGGGATGAGAATCAACAATGTGATTAAAATATTTTTTTTATAGTCTTCAATTATTTGGGGTTCGCCAATGACACGTAAAAAGAAGGAAACAGGAAAATTCTTTGGTCAACGTTGGCTTGCTGTCACACGGTGTTTCACTTAGAATCAAGCTTCAAGACAGAGAGAGGTGCCTGCTAACAGAATTATGGCAACCGGGAGAGTAGTTCCATCTATTTGCTTGTTTGTTTTGTCTTGCTTTTTCTTGAAGGTTTTCAATGGAACAATTGCAGCCACTGATACCCTTTTTCATGGACAAGTGATGAGAGACTCGGAGAGTGTTAGATCTGCTGACAATACCTTTGAATTAGGATTTTTTTCCCCAGGAAGCTCAACAAAACGTTATGTGGGAATTTGGAGGATCAATGTTCCATCAAAGGATGTAGTCTGGGTTGCCAATAGAGATAATCCTTTCAGTGGTTCTTCTCAGCTGGTTCTTACCATCAATGATGATGGGTACCTCGTGATTGTGGATAGCAGGATGACCTATAGAGTAAGTGATGATCCATCAAGCCAGAACGTGAGTGCGACACTGTTGGATTCAGGGAATTTGGTTTTAAGAAATGAGAACTTCGATATACTTTGGCAGAGCTTTGACTACCCTACAGATACATTTTTACCTGGAATGAAGCTTGGCTACAGCAGAAAGACCGGGAAAGTGTGGTCTCTAACATCGTGGGTAGATGAAGAAGACCCAAATATTGGGGATTTTGAGGTAAGAATGGATCGTTCAAAATCACATGAAGTCTTCCTCATGAGGGGTTCTGAAGCGTTATGGAGCACTGGAGCTTGGGATGGTGTACGTTTTGCTTTGATGCCTGAAATGAGATTGAACTACATCTTCAATTACAGCATATATAGCGATGAAAATGAAACATATTTTTCTTATGCTTTGTATGATCCTTCTATAATAACTAGATTCATCGTTAGTGTGTCTGGACAGCTCAAAGAATTTTCATGGCTGAACACTTCCCAAGAGTGGGTGTTGTTTTGGGCTCAGCCAAGGGCTTTGTGTGATGTTTTTAATTCTTGCGGTCCATTCGGCAGCTGCAGTAAGCAGAGTGAGAGCTGTCAGTGCTTAAGAGGTTTTTATTCCTCAGAGAGGGGGATAGGGCGAGGCCAGTCTGGTGGGTGTACGAGGCGAATGGCCCTAAATTGTGGGATTGGAGACAAAGACAGGTTCTTCAGGATGGATGATGTAAGTTATCCTCTAAGTTCAACTGAGCAAAGCAATTCATCATATTCTTCCCTATCAGGCCCTGAAGTTTCTAACAGAGATGCAAAAGCCTGCGAACTAGCTTGCTTGAACAGCTGCAGTTGCACTGCATATGCCTATAACAAAAGCGGCCATTGCTTAAAATGGTTTGGGGACATTCTAGATCTACAACAACTTTCAGGAAAGGATCCTGATGGAAAAACAATTTTTATCAAACTTTCAGCCTCTGAATTTGACAGCAGTGGAGGTACCTCTTTCTCTAAACTTCTTTATTTGTTATTATGGTCATATTCAATAGGAAAAAGTCAATCAGAAATGGATAGCTAAATGTCCAAAGTAGTTAATATCTGGTAAGTTGTTTTGAATTCTTACTTTTCATATTTGATTTCTAGGAGCCAAAAAGTTTTGGTGGATTATTGTAATCGCTGTTGCTCTAGTGGTGCTTCTTCCTGCTTCCTACATTGTTTCTCAGTGGAGAAAAAGTCTTAAAAACAAAGGTACCTTCATTTCCGATGAGTCTTTGTAAATGGATTTGTATATATGCTTGCTTTTTATGTGAATGGATGTACTTATATATGCACACCTCTCTGTCCCAAAAAAAAAACAGGGGAGGCAGATACAAGCCAGGATATACTACTCTTTGATATGGAGATGAGCATGACTAGTAGCAGTGAGTTTTCTGGTTCTGATAAATTGGGAAAAGGGAGGAGAAAGGATGCTGCATTGCCATTGTTTAGCTTTGTTAGTATATCAGTAGCTACAGAAAACTTCTCCTTAGAGAATAAGCTAGGAGAGGGGGGATTTGGACCTGTTTACAAGGTATCATATCTATCATCTAAAAGCCCATTGCCAGAAGTTGAGTTCAAGTTGCTAAACTAAAATCTTCACTATTGACAATGCTGAAAGTTTCCTATAAAATCTATGGAATTTCAATTGCAGGGAAAGCTATTAAATGGACAAGAAATAGCAGTGAAAAGGCTTTCGAAAAGGTCAGGACAAGGGCTAGAAGAGTTGAAAAACGAGACAATGCTTATAGCAAAGCTCCAGCATAGGAACCTTGTTAGACTATTGGGTTGCTGCCTAGAACAAGGCGAAAAGATATTGATCTATGAGTTCATGCCAAACAAAAGTTTGGATGCATTTCTTTTTGGTCTGTGATTCATGTTTCACGAAATTTTACATGTTAACTAGCTTACATGTAATAATTTGTTCCAAAATCAATTAGCTTGGAAATGTGACATTCTGCACATTTGCAACAGATCCAAACAATCGAGGGTTGCTGGACTGGAGAACACGCGTTCGCATAATTGAAGGGATCGCTCAAGGGATTCTGTATCTTCACCAATATTCCAGATTACGAATTATACATAGGGATCTGAAGGCAAGCAATATCCTGTTAGACAGTGACATGAACCCCAAAATATCTGATTTTGGCTTGGCAAGAATGTTTGGTGGTGATGAGTTGCAAGCAAATACGAATCGGATTGTAGGAACTTAGTAAGTGAAGTTCAAATCTCCATCACTTGCAATACTACCTGCTTGTTAAGTCTCCTTCACTGAAGAATCTAATCGACTTCTGATGAAATATAGTGGTTACATGTCGCCTGAATATGCCCTGGAAGGTCTTTTCTCCATTAAATCTGATGTGTTCAGCTTCGGAGTGTTGCTCCTGGAGATAGTGAGTGGCAAGAAGAATACTGGCTTTTACCACAGCAACTCTCTTAACCTTCTTGGACATGTGAGTAACAAACTTTCTCCATATTTCAAGAGTTTTATCCTGCTTGTTTGTCTTCTTTTTCTTTGTCTTCTCCCCCATGTAAATGATTTTGACATTTAAACACAATCATTTTACTTTAGACATGGGAACTGTGGAAAGAAGGTAGAGCTCCTGAGTTGATGGATCCTTCGTTGGAAGAGCAAGTGTCATATCCTGTGCTGCTCAGATACATTCATGTGGCTCTTCTCTGTGTTCAAGAAATTGCAGCTGATAGACCGACCATGTCGGACGTAGTCTCGATGCTTACTAATGAGCTTACAGTTCTAAATTCTCCTAAGGAGCCTGCTTTCTCAAGTGCAAGAAGTGCTATAAACAATCCAAATCAGCATGCAAGCAGGCCTGAACTATGTTCAGTCAATAACGTGACAGTTTCTTTGATGGAACCTCGATAGCTACTTTCAATTACAGCTCAAATGCTCGGTTCCAATTCTTTTCTGTTTGAGGCTTCTCTTTAGTCCGGGTGTGTCTATGTTAATCAAATAAAATTGACATATGACAGAGAGATAGAAAAACTCCTCATCTCATCTCTCTCTGGGTTTTCTTACTCCAGCAATTTTCTACAAGCCTCACGCAAAGAAAAATTACCACAAAAGAAATTGAGATCTAGTTACCATTTTTGAAAGTATTTCATACCATTTTGGCAAACTCTTATCCCATACTTGTTTCGGTAATTTGAGTATAACTTCTATTTTGATATTTGTGATTATGTAATCTATGAATTTCAAAAAAATTTTAATTATAGAAGCAATTAATCTAATTTACACCAACAAAAATTCATAACCATATGTCATGCAAATCAAATAATAATTGCATTAACATAAAAGAACAAAAAGTAAACGATATTACTTACTCCCTGCTTAGAATATATTAGATTTTTCCCTCCAAGTGAATTGTAGTAAATTTACCATTACATCAATTGTTAGAATTCTCTTACCAATTTGAATTATCACTTATTCTTAAAAAATCTTTTAATTTGGAATTTAAAGTGGATTAAATATAGAATACTTTTCAAGATGATAATTAGATAGTTTTCTCTCACTTTCTTTTATGGTAATTTTTCTTTGTGTTAGATTCGTAGAAAATTGCTAATACGAATAAGAGAACAACCAAAGAGATATGGAGTTTGGGTATCTTTGTGGTAAGGGTTTTGGTCAAAATCATATATTTATAATGTGATTTTTGATTCCATTAAAATAAAAGAGATATTTATCTCTTAAAATTCTTTTTAATTTAATCAATTAAAATTAAATTAATATTTTTTATTTGCAATTATACTTAAATAATAATTTATTTATTTAATTATAATTACTAGTCCATGTCAAATAATGATTATTCTATTTTATTATTATCCATTTTTAATTGAAAAGAATTAATAATAAAATTAAAAAAATCCTAATCACATAGAGTAATATAATTATTTCATGATTCTAATTAATTGTAAATAAATAATTAACAATTTTAATTCTTATATTATAACTAAATATCTTCCATTATTATTTTTATTTATAAGTCAATAATTATGTTAACAAATATTTTTAAAAATTATTCCATTTTTAGTGAGATATTATTAAAATTCATTTGATAAAAGCTCAACGTCACGATTTAATCGAAATTGTTTCAATGGCTTGTCTAATTGTTTTTTAACTTCGGCTTTGAATTCTTAAAATTTTTCAAAAGATTTACATTTTTTTATATATAAAATACACAGCATCATGTCTCAAGTAGTCATCAGATTATGAACCTTTTATCCTTTTATCCTGATATGTCTCTGCTCATATACAATTCACGTTGGACTTGGTTTTGTTCATAATATTTAATTCCAACTGATAGCAAAAGACTGTACAGAAAAGCCCATAGTGGTACTAAACAGTTAAAAAAAAGAATTAAAAAAAAAATAAGTGTTTTGTAAGAAAAGATAAAGTGTATGTTAGCCAATAGCTAATTTACATGGTTGCCAAGTAAATGCTGAAATATTTAGTAATACATATTGCAACAGGAAATTGTCCTCAACTAAGAGTTACTGCTAAATTTCTATCTTCCTTCCTGCACAGTTAAGGTTACTACATTGTTTGAAGCAGATTCTACTGTTTTGGATTTTGCATCCCCATCATTCGGTCTTCTTTCTACGAAGAAACCAGGTTGTTTAGGTTCAGGCAATTTGTCTTTCTCATTTACCAGCATGGATACAACACATGACATTTCAGGCCTATCCTCTGGGAACTTTTGAACACATAGTAGACCCAACTGAATACATCTTAGCACCTGAGATGGAGCACATGAATTCTTCAGACATGAATCTATTAGCTCTAAGGCCCTGTCCGTCTTCCATAGCAACCATGCCTGGTTCAATTGCATAACATTTGATTAATTATTGACAAGAAGAGCAGGACATAAGATAGTAAGACATTATTGTCAGTCAGTCAACTTACATGTCCTAGAAGGTTATGGTGGTGATCGGGATGAGTAAAACCCCTGTTCTTCTTGCCACTCAATATCTCTAACATAAGCACTCCAAAGGAGAAAACATCAGATTTGACTGAAAATTCTCCATCGACTGCATACTCTGGAGACATATAGCCACTGCTTGAAGTATCAGTCATATCAGTTATATAATTTTTTAATAAGACAATTGGACCAATGTTGAACTATGTGCAACTTACTATGTCCCAGCAACTCTGTTTGTTTTTACTTGAACTTCATCTCCTCCAAATGTTCTTGCTAAGCCAAAATCTGAAATAACGGCATTTAAGTTGTGGTCTAGCAAAACATTGCTAGTCTTCAAATCTCTGTGAATGATTTGAAGTCTAGAGTCCTGATGAAGGTAGAGAAGTCCCCGTGCAATTCCCATGATGATGCCAAAGCGC